AATCCATCCTGAACCCTCATATATTTTCAATTATAAAAAAAATCCCAATCAAATGATTTATTCCAATTGAATCCTTATTTGACCTTGACTTAGACAATTCAATCTTAGACTTTGACCTAAAATAAATATGGGTTGTAGCACTGCCACTTGGAAATTCGGCTCATCTTATTACTCGGAGCTAGAATGACCGCAAGTAGGGATACCTGGCTCAGATGAGTGCAAACGAAGCTTGTATTGTTGCTGGTGTTTATGCTCATAGGTTGATATTCCACTTGTTGACGATTTCAGATAAGGTTGTCAACTTCTTCTTTTATACCTCCTTGATTACTGAGTGATATCCTAAGCTTCTTTTCTCTTACTTTTTGCTCTAGGTAAAAGTGGAGGCATAGGGCATTGAGAAGGTGAATAAAGAAGATATCACTGTACACCGCCTGCTGGAAGAGGAGAAGGCTCGTTTGGAAAAAACTGAAGTGATGTAGAATAAAGAGAGGTTTACCCTTACTATTTGCTTGGAGATGAGGTTGCTGCTAGTTCCCAACCGGAGAAGGAAGTGGAGGAAGCCAAGATGAGGGAGGGGAACCTCATAGAGGAGTTGGAGTGAGCAAACTTCAAAGCGGCTAAGGAGGTGAAGAAAGCTGAGGTGGAGAGATACTGGGCTGATATTCTGGCAGCTACGGATGGATGGAAGGCTTCCTTTGAGGTTCAAGTTTAAAACCAAGAGGTGTACATGGTGGCCATCCATGAATTGATTGGTTTAGTGGAAAAGAAAGTGTCAGACTTGGATATCACCTTCCCTCGTGAAGCTTTATCTAATTGGAGGTTCTGGCTTACATGATTAGGGCGGGCTCCTCTGAGGCCCAAGAAAATGATGAGATTGCTTCAAAGCGGGCTACTCTCCTTGGCGAGCTTATAGCCAAGTTGGTGGTGATGATCCTCCTGCTCTCTAGAGGATGTGGATTTCTTTATTTTGGTATCTTTTGGGAAGAAAAACATTTTTATCATGTCTTGGGAATATTGTATAATTTTGCCACTTTGATGTCGTGGGACAACTTTGTTTTTTAGTTTCCTGTGTTGAAGGCTGTTTGGCTAAGTATGTAAACTGAAGATGAATGAATTTAACATGGTCTTGTTATAATTTTTCACTACGGAATTTTGACTCGATGTTTTAACTGAGGTAAACTTAGCTGGAATTGAGTTGGAAAGCTCGTCCTGAGAATGACTTTCTTGCTGATTATATGATACTTTTTATAGAAGAGAACTCGTTGAGAAAATCGATCTAGATGAATATTATGTTTCAAATACTCGTCGGGAATGACTTAAATAGATGATGTTCTTTAATGAATTTTTGTTAGTACACATTGACTTTGTTAAGTACTTTCAGATCTTCCTACAAAAAATTCTGAATCCGTCCCTGATCGAACACATGAGATATCTCATAATGTTGAATTTATCTTCACAAGCCACAATATGTATAAATATAACCTGCCACACTTGAACAGATTCTAAGGTAGAAAGGTAGACGAAGATTGGCCTTCGATCGCCTTTTAAAGAAATACAAAATGGCTGAATTAGCTTTTATATACACACATCCACATCATTTGTTGTCATAGATCGGTTGCCCAGCACATAGCATGAAAATTAGATTTTATAGTAATTAATAGCTTTTTGGAAAAGGATGTCCAAATCGATTGCCTTTTAGTAGACCACATTAAAACTTGTTGGACACCATAAACCTCCAAGAAAACCACACTAAAATATATGCTATTTAATTCAATAGGCTTTCAAATAGACCACAATTAATAATGCCCCAGCCTGCCATGTAAAAGTATGTTATTCACCCCAACTTCAAAAAAATTCTGGAAATTACTTGAAGCACTAAACCCTTCGTAAACATCAAAGTTCTCATGAAGGAACTCGCTGTTGAAAATAGTTTATATTTAATAGCTACTTTACATTTGAAAAAAATCACAATTGTTAATTAAGAGTGCTTTAGTGACTAGCAATCAAACGAAGTGAGTCCCAAGTACAAAACTACGCAAAATGTAGTATAAACCAAATGACAGGTAGCATTTAAGATTCCGCTTTCCTTCTATGAGGCAAATAAGGAAAGATTAGTATCACTAGAAGGTTGCATTAACTTGTACAACATGAATGCAAAATACATCATCGTCAACAACCACGGAGAGAATGTATAGATACACAACAAATAAAAATAGTTTTTAATTGTCAAATATAACCTTGAACCCCTAATAAAATAAAAGATTTCCCCTCTTTGGTCACGGGCATTTGTCCCTTGGGGCTGATTGTACAATTCTTAATTCTAATAGTGCAAATATTGTTGTGTGATTGAGTGGCTGCAAAGGTAAGAATAGGAATAAAGGCCGAATCATTAAAAAGATTACTCCCCTTTGTATAAGTTGTTGTTGTTGTTGTTGTTGTTGTTGATATTTCTTGTGTGCCATGGGGGTTGACTGGTTCATCTGTGGAATAATTTGCATCATCAGGGATCCCTGATTACCATAGGAGATAGCCCAAACATGATAAAGAATGATGCAATATAAATTAGGAGTTGAGATCTGCTAAAGTAGTTGCTCATACCATTGAATCCCAGCAGCTGAATGCCAAATTTCATGGCAGATTCCACCGTCCAATGGAGGAACTGATCTAATATGATACGGGTGACATGAGGAATTTTTTGCAATGAACTTTCAAAGTAGGGCAGCATGAGTTTCGTAGCTTTGGCGAAGGAAAGGAAAAGTGACACGGACGGGAGTTTCTCCGTGCTCTCAATTCCGGGGAATTCCGGGAATGTTCCCTGGAAATGGAAGGTCTATGATGGTAATATCATCGCTGGAACGTACGAACGGTTTTCAGGGGTGGTGAAGAGGGTTACCGCGCTGCCGCGGTCGAGGAGGAGGCGAGCAAGGTGAAGAAGGGGGATAGTATGGCCTTTGGACATGAAAGGAAACAGAACCACATTTTCTTGTGTTTGTGGAGGAAATTTTTATTTATCACGAGCTGGGTGTAGGTAATTAGCACTGTCGTCCAAAATGAATTAAAAAATCTTCCATATATAATCCTACTATCCATCTTTAATTAATTTATTATTGAACACAATAAACACTGATTAATAAAAGATGAGGCATCTATAATTTTTAGGTAATTTAGCCTCTCTTTTGTTTGACAGGGATTAAAATTCGATTTTTAATAAATTATGATAAAAGGTAATGAGACGTGTGGTTGAAACGTTGTGAGTCCCATAAAACATATGAAACTTTGATTTAGATTAAAATTTAGATCTACATTTCTATGCCTACAATTTTAATCACCATAAATTTTTTCATAGAGTAATATTACTTTGCCAGAAGTGACACAACACTTGTTTATACCAACATTTAAAAGCCTGTCTTACTTGAAAAAAAAGGTCAAAAGTCAAGGTTAAAGCATCAAATATGGGTGAACGCAGAGATAGAGATAGGGTGGGGGGCGGTCATTGTCCTCTGGTTCACTATTCCTACTTAATTTGTAATGTATTTTTCAGTTTTGTTCCCACAAAAATTTTAACTCGCTCCAAAAAAATTTGGAAACTTTTTTTTCCTTAATAAATATTGACCCATTAACTTACACTTTAAAATTCAACCATATAAAAATTTTAGATCTAAACAAAATATCAAATAATTACTTAAATAAATAAATAGCCCAAATCCAATCAAAAAGCAAATAACACATTTATGAATCAATTACCCAAAAGCATACCCACATGCCACAGCCCACAAAATGTAATCTCGACTACAGACAAAGAAGGTTACATACGAAAGAGATTTTTTGATTTGGTTCATGTTGAAGATACTAAATCATCAACTTTAAAGAAGGAGATACATAGAGTGCTCTTTCAACATAACCTTAGCATATAAAAAATCTGTGTTTAAGGATATGATGGAGCTAGTAATATGCGAGAAGAGTAGAATGGATTGCAAGCTTTA